GAGTTGATCGGGAAGCTATTCATGAATATCCTTCTCCACCTTTCCTGGTTAAAACACTCACACACCTGCTCCAAGCAGCAGCAGGTACCTCTGTCGGCTGAAGGGCTGAAGTCACAAACATGACATGAACATGCTGGCCATGCTTGAGTCCAACCCCATGACCAGGCTGGCACACAGACTGATCCAGAAGCACCAAGCAGTAGCACCAGATCTCTTCTCAAACTCTGGTTGGTTGCCCAACACTTGGGTCAGTGGTTTCTTTCTGGAACATCTTGTGCCTCCAGTGGCTAATGCAGAAATCGAGGTGTTTCACCAAGATATCAGCTATTCAAGTATTTGTTTTGTGAATGGCTCCAATGGCTTCATTAAACCTCTAGTTCTTCTGGTAAAGTCAAATCTGCCACCCCCATTGGGAGAGCTCATCCCATTGGGTTCAACAAGAGCTTCAGACATGCACAAGAGTTTTGCCTGCTCACAGAAGCTGTTTGAGCTTGGGCTTCAGTGACACAAGGGAACATAGCTAAAACCAGTTCTAAACACATCACTGAGGCTCAGAACCATTTTCTGTGGGTACAGGTAGAACCTGAAACTTCAATGGAAAACCAAGAGGAGGACAAAAGTGATGCCAAAGAGAAAGAAGACCAGAGCAGGCCCATAAAGAGCTGCACAACAAAAACATGCTGCAGACCCAGCACTGGGCTCCCTGGCATCCCTTGAGGTTTTCAAGCACTGGCCCTTGCACATGTGCTAAACAGTTGTTGGGGACAGTGAAGGTATTTTCCAGGAAAGACACCAACAGCTCTGTGGGATGTGGCATGTGGGTACTTGCAGCTTACTGGGAGACAGCACCCCATGTTGTGGAATCACCGCGGGTCCATGGCATGGCTGAAAGATGCTCCTAGTAGCAGAATCAGACCTGTTTGTGGTGATAAACGGTGATTTTCCTGCTAGACAACATGGCTGGGAGCATGCACAGGAAGTTTAGGAAGGGCAGGCTGAATGGGGAGAAGGCCTTTTGCTAAGGTAGTAAAACTGGAACAATTACAGTTTCTGAACTCAAGTCATGTGCAGACCACTTGACGATAGCCGACCCAAAAGGGGTATCTACCCAACATTACTAAAATCCTGTCCTGGGATGTGGTATGAGTAAGGACCTTCTACCCTTCCAGACAACCAAGTCCTGGCAATGGTCTGCTGCTGTCTCATACTTGGTTGATGTTCAGACGTGGAAACACCCAAAAGCTCCCCAGATCATATGCCTTAAATCCAACGGGTTAAAGCTTCACCACAAATGAGAAATATTTTGCCATCAATCACCTGAAGCAGCAGCAAAAGGCCAAACACACATTCCTTGTCTCATACATAATGTTACTGCTTTCAAAGCTGAAGTACCTCCCTTACTGCTCCCCTAGCCTGGCTGAGGTTTCCCACAGGTTAAAGTGCAGAATGACCTCATGAAGAGGCCATGTGACAAAGCATGGGTCAGTCATTCCTTCCATGGGAATAATATGGGGTAGAAATGGACAGATGTGGAAAAGCACCAGGTTTTCATTTCCCTGAACAGCAGTACAAACCAAATGACAAGGAGGGCACTGAAGCAAGTATCAGAGTCTGTGACAAAAAAAAAAGGTAATTGTGGATTTAACAAAAAGTAACCTGGCTGCCAGATGCAATGGGAAGGTATGTTTCAGTCACCCTGTCAAAATGCAGGCAAAGCATGGAAGTACACCAATGGGCTAAAAAATAATGAACCAGAGCATCTTTCAGTGCTGGAAGGTAGAGACCTGCATCTTCCAGCCAAGGGGGAGACATCAGTGCAGGGAAACAGGTGATGGCCTGAGCTCTTTGCCTACTGCGCTCTCTTTAAGACTATAAAATATTAAGTGGAAAAGGAAAAACAATCACCTTGTGGGCTCACTCACCCAGCAGAGGGCTGCCTCGGCCAACATTCCAAATGCAAATCCTCACTTTGCACTCAAGACTCGCAGCTCAGACTCGTCACACCCAACCTGCTCTGTCTGCAAGAAGCTGAAATGAACCAAAACCCCCAGAGGGCTGCTCAAATCACTTGTCTGGCAGCGTATCTTTCTCCCAGGGAAAATGAAAATCAGCAGTTATGAAATTCTACACTGTGACTGGTGTGTGTTGCAGCTGCAGGTAAACAGTGGAGAAGCCTGAGCAGAAGCAATTATTAGAGTCATGGAGTATGCTGGCCAAAGTCACACAGTGCATCATAAATGGACCCAAAGGAGAGACCCTTTGTCACTGCAGATGCTCTGCAAAGCCTGGGCAGGGAGATGCATTAAAACATTACATGGGCAAAAGCAGAGCTTGAATGGTTTTGACCCTTCCAGGGAGTGAAGGTACCCTGCGGGAAAGCTCTTGCAGCAAGTTGTCCCCATCATGTTAAAGGGGATGGAACCAGCCCCAAAGCAGCTGGACCCCACAGTAATACCTGGAGGATCATCCTCATCACCAGGAAGGGGTGCTCAAGAGAGACATTGTTTTGACAGAGGTCTTTTGAGAGCAAAATTGTCTCAGATTTCTATGTTTAAACTGGCAGCACTTTCAGTGCTCAGGACTGTATGAGATACCAGAAGAAAGACTACAGAAGCCAACTTTGGCTTCAGACCACCATTTCCTGGCCAAAGCACATTCCCCTAAGCTAACCCATTCCCCCTTTCCCCTTTCACCAACCTGCAACAAGATCAATTGGCAGCAGGACACATTTAGAAGTATTTGTTGGAAATGCTTTGGTGGCATTAACTTAATTCACACCCAAAGCTGCATTTATCAGAGCCAGTCCCAGGCCCTGGGTGGATGTTTTGCTCAAAAACACACAGCATCAGCCTCAGCCTCAGCCTCAGCCTCACAGGCACAGCACTTACCTGAGATGTGGGAGAGCATGGGGAAAACATCGCTCAGAAGAAGAGCCGAGGAAGAGCCAAGCAGCATGTGCAAAGCAGAAGAGCTCTGGCACAAGACACAGAAAACCTTCTTACTCCCTGGGCCCAGAGACTGAAAAAGAGCAAAGCAGAACTGGGCTGATCCTTTCCAAAATAACTCCCACTGGCTTTTTCTGGGAAAACTCAGGCATAAAATGAACAAGGTGGGCTGCTCTATGCCCACCTATGCCTACATGCCAACCATCTGCCAGCAAGAGTAACTAGCAGGGCTGAGACACTGCTGCTGAAAACCACCTGCAGTCAAGTTGGGGGATTCCCACCTCCTCCCAAACTTCACTAGTGACGTGCTTACTACTGAAAGAAGGCTGCACAAGGGATGTGCAGAGTGTCATGGCCAAATCTTGGTGCTCACCAGCATTCCCTGCCAAGCCTACGACATACACAAATAACCAGTGATATAAATTACATTAAGATGCACCAGTGCTAGAAAATTTATGTTAATTTTCTATAAGGAAAACATGTATTCCTGTCAGGTTACAGGAGATGCATGGGAACACTATGCTGCATGACGCAGTGTTCATCTCTATTTTGGGCACATGGTTGTGGAAAGAGTCCTTATGAAATGGTCAAAACTCAGCCATAAATCCTTCAGAAAACATTTGCTTCCAGTACCTGCTAAATTTGATAGTAAAAGTTGACAAAACAGGAACTGTAGTGGCTTGTCTTAGGGGAGCAGTCTGATAGCCCAGCACCAGAACAAGGATAAGCCAAAGGGCAACTGAGCTGTCTTGAATAAAGGAGGGAGGAGGTTGATAGGGATTAAGTAATCTTTTCAGAGTACAGAAAAACAAAGGGATCATGACCCTTGCTTAGCTTGTGCTCCTCAAAAACTTCCCACCCTTGTAGATTAAGCATCTTGAAACTTTCTCCATCTGGAAGGACTAAAAGCTAAACTAGGTGGATCTCAGCAACATCAAAGTCCACCCTCCTTGCAAAAGTCTTGGTTTCTGTTTGTCCAGGACCCAAGACAGTTGCCAGGCCCTTCTCTACTTCAAGCAGTCATTTTCCATCATTCTCTGGTGGAGGTCCCTCTTTCAAACTTCAGCCTCCTGGAATCTGCACAGGACATGTTAAGGTTTACCCCTCCACACACAAAATAGGCTCCTATCATCCTACAAATGACCTTAAACTAAACAATTCGATGTTCAATTACAATGTCAAGAGAAGGTGGCTTTACCAGCACAATGTGGAAAAAGCCATTAGCTGTTTGCTTTGATCGAGGCAGCACACAACCAGACGTCAGCTCTTTTACTGACTTCTTGCTCTACACTAGCCCGAATCTGCCATGCTCACTTCTCTGATGGGGATCAATAGCAAAGGTCCATGTGTGCCCAAACAGCACAAGCTTGACTTATCAAGGTAGATGCGCACTATGCACTCATGCACCAGTGCAGTGAATGATGTACGTGGTGGTTCAGCCTCTAATTGTAAATAGGATTATCCCTGGAAGTTGCCCAATGATCTCACCCCAGAAACACAAAGTTCAAAGGCAAGCACAGGTGTTCAAAGCCTCCAGAAGACCTCCATCACCCATGGCTATGCTCTTCCAGAAAGCAAAGGCTGAAGAATCACTGTACACGCACCACACCTGAGTGGCTTGCGGAAAATGCTGCTGAAGCGCTCAGCGGTGGGAAATTTGAGATCCCCAACCATTAGCACCATGCTAAACAATGAGCAGTTGCACTCCACGCACTGATCCCTGCAGCACTGGTGCCATCACAAGCCATTACCCATCTTAAAAAGCTGGTGCTGGTGAGCAGGTACTCACAGGGGAGGAAATCAAGGCAGCACAAGCACCACAGTCTTGAGTTAACACTGATGCGCAACGATTTTGTCTCATATATATTGCCTTGGTCCCCTCCTCAGATCAGGCTGCACTCAAAGCAATGCCACACTGCTGAGCTCCATGTCCCTGCTTGCCCAGTTATTTCTCAAGATAGCATGCTTTACCAAAGCACAGCTCTGCTGTGAAAAAAACATGAAACCACGTTTAGCAAGTAAGTCATGCAGTAAGTCAGACACTACAATGCAGAATTCAGCAGATTCCATTTAATATCATGTGCATATATCCATACATTTACTTATGTCAATGGTTTTGATGTGCGTGATGCCAGGTCTTGAAAAATCTACTAGCTCATTTACTTCTGGGAGCATGAATTCTCTCTTGGGGGGTTTGCTTTCTATTTTAAATCTACTTTCAACCATAGAGTTGCCAAGATAATACCATCAACTGAAGGTAAAGTGTGCAGAGCTGATCCCTGGAATTTGCAGGCAGCTCTGCAAATACTGTTGCAAAGGGTTTTGCCAAGAAACATGTCCCCTCCCTCCTAGAGAGAGAACTGATAAGAAATGGGTTAGTCTTGTTTAGCATCCCACGCAACAGTGAGACAAAGCAGCAGAAGTAACACCCCATAAATTCTCCAAGGAAGTTTTTGGCCATGACTGAGGAACAGTGCAAAGAAGTGGAGATAAACCCAACCCCCCTCCAAAAAAAGAACTGGCACTTTCACTTCTTTTTTTTTCCTTTCTGTCATTTAAGTGACAGGACCAGTAGATCCTACAGTCATGGATGTTTACCCTGCAACATGCTCCGTCCCAGCAGTTTCACAGTAGATTTTTCAAGCCCTGGTGATGGCTCCCAGGAAAGCTTCTCCCATCTGCTCCCGGCCCCCACACGATCAGAATCTATTGCATAGCATTTATTTCAGATAAGGCACTGTTTTGCCCAACGCGAACAGCAATTCAAAACCAATGCAGTTTCCATACAGTCCAAATTTGATGGCCTACAGTGCAATAACACATAAAATTAAAGGCAAGGTTTGGAAGAATAAACCCAGCTTTCAATTTAAACTTAATATTAAAAAGATAAAGGAAACTACATTTTTCAAAAGCCTCTTTATTTTCCTTCACCATTGTTGTTTTACAATACAAATATCACCTTGTGAATACACAAAAACCCTACAGAAGATAACTCTGCTTCACGTAAAATACAGAATGGATATATATATATTTATATATATATATTTTCTCTTCTTCATTCTTTAAAAAAAACTATTTTGCTCTGCACATTGGCAAGTTTAGGATAGAATTCTTCCCCAAACATACAGTATGTATGGTAGGAGTGAAACTTATAATTACATGCAGTTTCTGCACAAGTATTTTAAAGAAATAGAATATCTTTGTTGTTTTTCAACAACATTTCAATACGGGATGGAGAAACCATTTGTAGTTCACTCAGTGATCATTTGTAAAGTTCTTAAAAAACCGGAATTCATGGCTGTTTTTCTTTTTAAAATACAGCTACCAAGTAGACAATAAAGTGATACCTTTTAGTGTGACCTGCCCACAATGTGTGAGCAAGATCGGACCCTTTTTATTTGTTTTTTTCCCCTATACATGGCATTTTCAACATTATAAGCAAATTTCCAGTTTAATTTAGCTATAAATGCAAAAATTAGTAATTATACAGTATATATAATTCTGCTTTCATGGAATATTTTATATTAAATAAAAACATTTAAGACTGCCTACTGACCATACAATCAAGACAAGAAAGGCACTAGAAACATAGACAAATCTCTCTCTCCCAAGAAGCATTTTCTTTAAATTTTAACTCTCTATCCTCTGACATGTAAAAATCTTTTTAAATTTAATTTTCATACACATTTTGAAAAATAAAGTTAGGAAATACTTAGAAAACCACTTTACAACTTTTTTTTCTCTTTTTTTTTTTTTTTTGCACTTTTTGACACAGTCACTGCAGATTCTACAAAATCAAGATTACCAAACCTTCCTGTGTCTATCACCTTATTCATAGCGTGGTGCAACAGGTAGAAAGATTTCTTGATTTTTACCCAAGGCAGGTATTTAGAAACCTTCACATAGTCATTTGTTAGAAAATGGCTTACAGCCCAATCTTTGGGGCAAGAGATATGAAAAGTATGTTTTCCCAAGAAAATAATATGCTTTATTTCCAGACATGACTGGAAAGACCAGAACTTATGATATAAAAGCTTTCATTTATGCCGTCGCATCATATACAAAGGAACATGGTGATGGGTAAATGTAAATCCCAAATCTATTAACAAGAAATGTATAGCAGTGCATGATAAGTCAAATTTTCTTTATTGTTGTCCAACGCAGATCCTTTGGAAAGAAAAAAAGATCACAGTGCTTACCAGGTAACTGAATAGGTTAAGTCAAGGGAACCGTTGAAAGAAAGGGTTAGGGAGCAGTTGATTTTTTTTTTTTTATGGCATCTTCTCATATGGAGTTCTTAGCACTTGGGACAGGTCCTTTCCCCCCCGCTTTTGTCTGTCGACATGCTGTTATGTGTCATTCACCAAGCGGCTGTACTTCACCTGCCTGCCCCGGTGCAGCACCGGCCAGGGGAAGGGCCAGTGGTAGGAGCGAGGTACAATTCCTTGGACATTCTTTTCAAAGTACTGGAAGGGCTTGTACCACCAGACCCTTGCAAGGAGGTTAGTTTGGGAAGCTTCTTTTAGCACCTGCACAAAGATAATCAGAAAAAAGAGAATTACAAAAGAGCACATGACTTACTTGCGCAACTTCATTGCACATCACTTGCAATCAGTTCATCAGTGGCGTCTTGCTTACAGCTGCTTCCAAAAATCTCTTAATATCTAGACATACCTCTCAAACAGACCTGCAGGGACAAAGACCAAGAGAAGCCAAGCTACTTTTTCCACAGCCTCCCTGTGCTCACAAGGGAGGCTCACCCTTGTTTCTAAGACCTCAGCTGTTCAATGGTTCCATAAGAAAAGAACCAACAGCCCAAAGGATTGGGGTCTCCTTTCCTTTGGGAATGAAAAAACACCAACCCAACCCAATCCAAAGCACAGCTGTTTGCATAGGTATCTCTGAAATTACATGTAGCTCAAGCATACCTTTGGAGCCTAGCCGTGTGCCTACAGAGCTATGAGCAACGCATGCCTCAGCCCATTTGGAGGAGGTAATGAACCCTGCCCTGCCCTGCACATACTCTCAAATGGTCCCAATCCACCCTTTCACTTCTCCTAGTTATGCGCAAGCCATAGCTGAAACACAAGGAGTGGGCAGGCACCAAGGGAGTTATCCAGCTACCCAGCTGCACATTTTCAATGTCAGAGCAGGGAAGCATTGTATCAGCGCGCCAGAAAGCACATGCATGGGGTTTGTATGCTAAGCTTTCTTTCCATGTCATGAGCTCACATGTAAAATAAGTTAACTTTAGCCCTAGTGGGGTGTCAGACACAGGCCACAGCCACCTGCAAATGGAGCGGCATCAGGAAAAAAAACATCACACAAACGTGCTCAGGTAAGGATCCACGGTTCAGCATTTCCCAACATCTCAGCAGCTTACGGGAGCAATGTTGAGCAATCTTCTAAGTCACACCATGCAGTAAAACAGGTACATTTCCATACAGTAAGGCAAAGGGCTTTTCTGAAGCAAGTCCTCATTAGCATTCAAGGCAATCCTGACTTTAATTGTTTCCAGCTTGGATGTTCAGCCACTTAGCACCATTGTTTTGAAAGAGCCCAGAAGCAAATGCAAAGTGCAGAAGTCAGTCTGATGGTGTATGACAAGAGTCTGGGCACAGACTGATATCAAACATAGTGGTTCCCAAACTGACTGAGCAACAGAGTGCATTCCTTGCAATTAGGCATTTGGTGGTAAAAATGTACCACAGGGTCTGACTGTAGCTTACTGCTTCAAGTAGCATCAAAACCACTGGAATAATATGACATAGTAGCTAGAAGACCTTGATATGATCTAAAACTCTGCACCATCATATTATTAATTAATTTCCTACCATCATACTGGGTCTTTCTTAAACATAATTAACTGGAGTCATAGACAACAGATAAGCAAAGTATCTTTTTCCAGAAAATATTTAGAAACCAATTTGCTGTTACAGACCTAAGTTTCTCTTAACTCATTAGGTCTTTCCCATGGATAACAGACTTGTGCATTTTCTCTCACATTCCTCAGCACTGTAACCTCATTTCTTATTGATCTAGTTCACCGGCAGGAAAGTAAGAACTGACAGGAGACCTCATTGAGACTTCTTCATATGACCTCTGAATCGTTTACCATTGCTCCCTGGTTGATTATTACAAATCAAGTGCTGCCCCTTCCTAAGCAGCTCCTTGCTCTCAGTATTTCCCTCATCACCCTATTTTCCATGCCTTCCCAGACTTAGGCCTTAGGACAGGAACAGCCTGTTCTCTGCTGCAAAAGCAAAACATTTCTCTTGGTCAAGGGATCTTACTGCCACTTGGAAACACTTTGGAAAACTGGTTCATTTGTAGTGAGGCCTTATAATATTCTTCAGGAGATATGCCATCTAACTAAAGTATACAAACCACGGAATTCCAGGAAAACCCAGCTGGCTTCAACAAAACAAAGACAAAATAAACACCAAGGCACAAAAAAACCCCCCACTATATCTAAATGGTTTGTTCTGCTATCACAAAACTGGCCAACTGGTGCAGATTCAGAAGGACTTCAGAAACTGAGGTTACACAGCAAAAGCAGAGAGGCCTGCCTGTGGGAAGACCTTCAGATATTTTTTCAGGCATAACTCAAGATGAACCCAGCTGATGACGCCTTTTTGTTTCCCGCAAACCCTATGTGAAGTGGGAATAGAGGAATGTTCCACAAGACACGGGTGAGCCCACTCCTACTCCTGCAGAAAGTCTCAAAGTGTGGAAATTCATCCACCACCACGCTATGGCAAGTGGAACCACTCAGCTCCAAAGACTGAGAAACTCACTTGCTGGTTGGCCATTGTGTGATACCACCAGAAAAGTCTTGTAGTGATGTAGTAAGCCACCACCACGTCCACAGTGTAGTGGTCATGAGCAAGGAGGATGCAGAACATCCCAACCATGCTGAGCGCCCAGCAAAGCCAGTGATACCACCAGAGTCGCCGTGGGGAATCTGGAAAGAAGCACAAGCAATGATTATTTCAAAAAGTGATGTTATTGACATGCAAGACTACTGCTGTAATTAGCAGAGGATGCAGACTGCAATCCTGGGTGGGTAATGCAATGCCTGCATTAAAAGTAGGAATGATGAGATCACAAAATAAGTATCATTCTCTTAAGGTGTAACTTAAAAGTTGTGCTCAGGGGTAATCAGGTCCTTGGGAAATAGAAACATTATTAAATCTTTGAGAAACAAGCCCAATACATACATGATAAACCTAGGTCAGTAAAAATTAACTTATTTCTATTTCAGTACTGATTCTACATAGAGAGCAATCCTTTCCTTTTGCCTTTCATAAAAAATAAATGCATATACTAAGGCTTGACTCTTGCAAAATGAGAAACCTTGCATTGAGCATGGCATTCATCTGGAGTCTTGAGAGACTAGGAAATACACAGCTGAAATACCATTCATCAGGCAGGGTGCAATGAAGGTTTCAATTATATTCTAAACGATTTTGGTTTGGTTGTGGGTTCGTTTTTTTTTTTTAATAAGATGCTTAATTCAGTCATCTACATGGTAATGTATGCTAACTTGTTTCCAAGGTTTTCTTTTCAGTAAGCCCTGTATCTTCAAAGCACTATTATTTTTATTTAATTTGAAAAGCATGCACTTTTACCTTAATTGTATTTTCCAACAATAATTCATCAATTAGCAAAGACTTATACAACAGGAAATTCCACATGAACATTAACGAACTTACACTCTTTGATAAATAAGTATGTAAGAGTTAATATGACGGTGTGACCGCTGTACAGATAGTCACCGCACATGTTGTGGGATCCTGTGATGGACAATCCTCCGCCAGCAATCAATTTCATTATCCTTCGCAGATGAGATTCCCAGTCTCCAAAAAGCTGGTAGAAGAGTAAAACATAAAAGCACAGTATGTTGTTTATAAGTACTTATTGCTCACACTATGTAAAGGCATAATCTTTCTCCTAGGTCTTCTCAGCAACCTTTGTTAATGTTCATGGCTGTGCAGGAAAAATATCTCTACCAGGAATCTCCAAGCACAGCTAATGGGTTCAGATCTGGCTTTATTCATTATATTCTTCCACTGGGATATACAATGGGCATGTGTATATATATATATAACTCACATATATACAGTGAGGTTTAGAATAATGACTCTTGGAAAACCTACAAATTCTGTAATACAGTCTCAAAAATCCAGCCTCACCAATAAAAAGGAATTAAAAAGTATTTCCAGCTATAGCTAGAATTTTGTCATGTTCTCTAAACATCTGTTTTTCCTTCTGTTCAAGAGGCAATGCACTCCAAAATAAATCAAGCTTAATTTAATGCATCTTGTTTGTAACAGTACAGGCCCTAGAGATGATAATCCAACAGTAAAGAGGATGAACTGCCCAAGCTGTACAGCCAGCTGCCGAAACCTAGATCCAACACACAGAAGAAGAGAGTATCTCATTCCAAACTCTAAGGCCTCCCACCACTCTGCTTTGGAAAGTCTTCAAATTGTTTCCATCCACTTCACATTTCAAAAGAGACATATATAGTGTTTGTCAGAGGACAGTGCCAAACTTTAGTGTACAAAACTTGGAGTACTGCGTACAGTTCTGGTGTCCTCAACATAAAAAGGACATGGAACTGTTGGAACAAGTCCAGAGGAGGGCCACGAGGATGATCAGGGGACTGGAGCATCTCCCGTATGAAGACAGGTTGAGAAAGTTGGGGCTGTTCAGCCTGGAGAAGTGAAGGCTGCGTGGAGACCTCATAGCAGCTTTCCAGTATCTGAAGGGGGCATATAGGGATGCTGGGGAGGGACTCTTCATCAGGAGTTGTAGTGACAAGGGGCAACGGGCTAAAACTTAAACGGGAAGTTTAGACTGGACATAAGGAAGAACTTCTTTACTATAAGGGTGGTGAGGCACTGGAATGGGTTGCCCAGGGAAGTTCTGAATGCTCCATCCTTGGCGGTGCTCAAGGCCAGGTTGGACAGAGCCTTGGGTGATACAGTTTAGCGTGATGTGTCCATGCCCATGGCAGGGGGCTTGGAACTAGATGATCTTAAGGCCCTTTCCAACCCTAACTATTCTATGATCCTGCACTGGCTTTATCTCACACAGTGCATATGAACAACAGGTACATTCCTGTACACCTGACGGATTTGCTCTGACCCACCTCCAACCCATGACAAGTATACACTCAGAGGGTATTGCTGAAAAAACTTCAATTTGCCTTAAGACAGCTAAATCAAAGTAAACCAAGTCCTTCTGGTGAAGATGCCTCTCTCCCTCCTCCCAGCTGACCAAAGGGCAGCTGATACTTTCCCAAAAATTTACTTTTGCTGCTCTCAGCTCAAAACCAAGCCCAGGTGTTAAATCCACAAAGAAAATGTACATCATGGGACGAGCACAGCCAGGACATACTGAGCATCTCTGGGACCCAATGGGAAGCAGGAACCACATGAGCTCAAAGGAGCAGGGCTAAAAGATCAACGCATGTGATTACATGTGCTGCATCCTTACATTATTTGATGAAGTTTTAAAATCCATGCTAACCTTTTAACAGTCAGAAGGAAACACAGATTCACATGGCTGGCTATTACAGGCATGTTCGTTTCTGTTAAAGCTCGGTCTTGCTTTAAGAAGTAGAAATCATTAATTTCTGATTGATTTACACAGGGCCTTTGCAGCAATTTAACATTTCCTGCTAGCAGTTCCTTATACAACATTAAAATGCTCCTCAGAGCCTACTCCTCACAATGATATATATAACTCATAAGGTGTTAAGAGGTTATTTTTCCCACCGGTATATTTATAGCTTTCAAGAAAGCCCAGCTAATCCTTAATCTTACTGGGTCAACGGAAGAGCACAACATAGGGTTGCCTTTACTTATAAATGAATAATGAGACAGATTTACCAACACCGTAAATTTCAAAAAATGGCAGATTTACTCATTTAAACCCATAAATACCTGTGTTTTCTTTAATTTCATAAATTCATAAATAATTCTTTAATGTCAAATACCATGTTGACTCCTCTCTCTTGCTTCTCTTTGCAAAAGACCTCAGTCTCAGCCACGAGGCATGGCAAACGTTCTGCCTTGTCAGACAACTGGTGTAGTACATTCATTGGCTTTATTTCCTGAGGAACTGAGGCATTTTGGCTTTGTACTTACCAGCAACCCTTACCAAAACAGCAACAGCAGGTGTACCAAGTTGAGTCAGTATTTTACTACCTGTAAATCAGTGATTTTACTACCTGTCATCTAACTCCTGGCTGTGCACACAAAACTGTTGAACTGTGTGTATAGTTAGCGCGGAGCAGATAGTTCTTCCCCCCCCCCTCCTGCTTAAATCAAGCTAGAGGACAAACAACTCCAGGAGGGGCAGGGAGACAAACTGCTATGGAGAAAGAGCACTAGTGTCTAATACATGCAACTTGTTCCATACTCTAGAAGCCCAGTTTGTATTAGACTGGATTTCCCTACCACAAACAGCACACTGCAGTAAGGACCACAGTTAAACTAATGTTTACATATAAAGAGATGGATGCAACAACACAATCCCTGTCCCATCTCCACCCTGAGCATGTGAATTACCCTTCAAGGCTGACTACAGTAGAGTCTTGCCTAAGCATCTCTGTTGTAGTAGCTTGGTTTCAGCCACGGCTTTTGCAAGCCTAACAAACAGAAATCAGTGCTAGACTGGGGAGGAGGTGGCAAGCCTTTGTGCTAACACAACTGCAAAAACCATATATAGGGACAGACAGCTACAAAGGAGACAGTTTTACCAGCCTTAACCAGTCTCCTTGGGCCATTTTCAAACGGAAATCATACATGGATTTGACACCCTGAAGTGTTTAGAAATAAATGATTCACACATGCACCTCCGCAGATTGCACATGCTGACTGTGCAAATTAATTGAAAGGGCTACAGAAATTGCATAGATTAGCACTTTGAAAAGGGTGGGAACACCTGCACTGCCCCAAAGCAACCATCAACACCTTCACCAAGAGGGAAGAAGATCTGCAGACAGACGTCCCCATCATGCCAAACTGGTATTTCCAAATTAGTAACAATTACTGAGAAAGTGTTGCTCATATTTGTGGTAACAGCAGGACAAGGGGAAAACATACAGATTAAAACATGGAAAGACAGCCAGAAAAAGTTTACCTTTGGAGAACACTTGAAATGCATGCCAGGTACTGGGAGTGTCGTCACATACATTGTAATACACCGATACAGGTATAGTGTGCCAACTATACAGAAAAATCTTCTGCTAATTATAGACCTAGAAGGGAAGAGAAAAAAAAAAGAGGAAAAAATAAGGATGTCACTGAATGCAAACAAAACATAAGAAGGTAAATAAACTACCAACTGTTCTCTTCTGGATGCTTTTGAAACTTGTGATAGTATCATCTTACACCTGAATACTGAAATACTTTATAAATATTCTCACACTTTAAAGGTGAGAAACACAAGAGCAACTCAACTAACATTACACACGAAGGCGATTACAGGAAATGTAAGGATTAGAATACAAAAGACTGTGCAGATTTAGTGTTGAACACATTAAAAGGGATTCCACGCCCCACACCCCACTCCATTAGCACTGAGCACTTGCTAATTTCTGATTCAAGGCAGGGGATAAAGTTACAGTATTTTCATTATTAGATGAAAAGGAGTAAGTCTATTTCAGCTGACACACACATTTAGTACTTACAAAGGGCTGCTTGAGAAGAAATAGCTTGTATGACCCAAACAACTAAAACCACATCTTTTCCTGAGCAGCATTAAAGAGGAATCAATTCACAACAGCAGCAAAACCTTCAAAATACAAATTCAGAACTGCTCTGGCTACAGGACAGGGCATTTTCATGGGAAGCCAAGCACAGCAAGCAGCCACAGCTGCAAAGAGATTTATTCATTGAGGCCTGACAGCAAATCTCTTGATGTAACAGAGGTGGCAGAAGCAATTTTGGGGTACCATGATGCAGTTCTGCAAACCAGCAAGAACACCTGGGGTAAAGAGCCACAGATCAGACTCAGGAGTAATAGCCAGCCCCAAAACTGGCCTGTTGAGTTTCACTGCTACATAACAGCTAACAACATCACAAGGAAAGAGCTACAACAACTAAACACCTTTGGAACATCCATGAGGGTGGAAACAACCTCTATTTGAGCTGGCCCAGAGTTCAGCAAAGAGGAATCACTACCAGCATTACAAACATCAACGGCAAATCCGGTTACAGCAGGTTCATAACCTTAACCACATCAATGCTTTGCATCCTGCGAGTTACAGCCCCGTTGGTTTCAGTTCATTTTAAATCATTGTCATTTACAATTATGGTCATTTGGGAAATGCAAGGGTTATAACACAACCTGCAAGTTCTGGCATTCATCTGTTGCTATTTTGAAGTATTCACTTTGAAATAAAAAAGTATGTCTATCAAGCTGAGCTCTTACAAAGCAAAAAAATGGCCATCTTTTTTATTTTTAATAGCTTTTGGCAGAATTATTAAGCTGTAGTGCTCCTCTCTCAGAGTATGACTTTACAGTGCCAGATCAACAACAACTTGAGAGTCTGCATTTATCAGAAAAGCTTCTACTATGACAGTGCAAATGCATTCGCACGCCAGTACTTACTGCTATTGAAACACAGTATTTTGTATTTTTTCCCCCTCTTGATGTAAACATGGACAAAACTGGGAGTCAGAAGTTATACTTCATTAACTTAGCTCCATGGATGGAAATTTAAGAGTGTAAGGCACCTCGCCATTGGGGCAGTGGTTTTCCTGTGTTTTGTATTTCTCTCTTAGAAGGGTGATGCAATAAAGATCTCAAACTTGGGCCTGGCTTTAAAACCAGACATAAACTTGCTTTTATTTAAAACATGGTTTGAAGATAAATGGGGGCTAGGGATTAAGGACTGAGCAGCGCTGTATTTTGAGGCTGAAGAAGCAGCAGTGGTTTATAAGCACAGAACTTTCTTTTTTTTTTAATTAAAATTCCCCATGACCCTACTTGGTATAACTGGATTTAGCACATTTTAGCTTAGGAAAGTCTGAAAGTGCTCTGTACTAGAACATGTATTTTTTAAAAAATAAAAAGCCTCATATTTTCCCTTCTCAAAAGGATTTGTGTGGGTGTATGATTACAAGCCAGCTACAAAGTATAACTTCTAAGCTTATTATGGCCAAGACAATGCCTATAAAACAACTCTACAGACCTCACTAACATGAGGAGCCAGCACGCTGCTTTTTCAATCCCATGAGCGTGCAGACTGAATTAGATATCAAATATGGCCAAACCCCAGCATTGTACTTGTCCCAAAACATCTGGGAATGCTTCCCAGAGAAGTTAATTCTGCCTTGGCAGGTTGCCTGAACTTCTCAAGGTCCCCATGGTATCTGTGGAAAAAGGCCTGGGCAGCCTGGAGCCCCCAGCAAAGATCTGCACAGCCACCCTCCTCCTGCTTTCTGGTGGGAAACCAGTGCAATGCCATGGGCAGTATTCTATATGGAAACTCAAAGAAAATTGTCACTAATTTTCTTGCACTAAATGCAGTACCTTGCCCAAAAGCCAGCCAAAAACTCCAGTCTCTACCTGAAGGTAAAATGAATTTTCAGGCAAGAGAGCAATAACAAGAGCCAAAGGGAAACCCTGCACTGTGGTTAGCCGGACAGACAATGCCTCCTTCTATTTTGGCCCAAACTTTGCCGTTCAACACAGAAGACACATAGATCCATCATATTTAACATCATCATCCAATCCCTGGGCTAAACAAGACGACCTGAGTGATCAGTATTATGAATGACGACACTACTGTACGTCACTGCTTCAGAGAACAGCAGGCTTAGACTGGATGAAATCAGGTTACTGGGAAATAATGACCTGGTAGGATAAGCAATAGGAATGTCACTGCTTGGCAAGGAAAAGTGTTTCAAAAAGTTTGCCTCCTTCAGCCAAAGGTTCAACCCAGGCACTGCCTGCAATTCAGCTCATGGGTAACAATGCAGGCTCGTTCACTGGTGACCCTGAGCTTGCACTTGGAAACATCCATGAACAGCACCTCTGTCACCTGAGTAAGCAAGAAACGATGCTCATCCTGCCCAGCAATCACCTGGTTTCACATCTTCAGATCTCAAATGTAGTGTGGCAATGATACCATCAGAGAACACAGAAGTGAGGAAGGTCTAGCTGGCATAACCTCTCTATTCTTGTTTCAAAGGGAGATGATAACCCATGACATAAAAGTAATTCCATTCTTTTTATAGCACTTAGTGGTTCACTATCCAAAGCCATGAGAATGAGGTCTTCCAGATAAATCCACCTCACTGGGCTCCTTTTCCCACAAGCATCTCTCCTGTTCTTCCCTTTCTGCAGCTTACAAACAGATTGGGCCTCTCAGACACTGATACCTCTGTTGACATAGAAGACAAATTTTGGTCTCCAAAGCATTACATGACCATTACATGCACCGACCAGCACTGACCAGCTGACACCAGAAAGAAACCTTGTAAAGCAAGTAGAAAATGAACACATCAAACCAAATGGTGACAGGGTAAGAGGGTACAAGGGGGAATCTTCACATCTATCAACATTACCAAACTACTTTATCATCAACCAATGTCTCAATGCTTTGAAATCTCCAAGGACTTAATGGATTCTGCTGTTCTTAATCTAAAAACTGCTCAGTTCCATTATAGGGCATCTGATCCTTCATACTGCCCTATTAACCTGCTATCCTATTCTTGAGAGCAATCTCATACCACCTCCTCTACGTGCTTCCCTCAGTTTTGAACATTTACGCTCAGAGACCCACGAAAGTTAATGTTCTCCCACATTCACTATAGGGAGCAGGAGCAGTGGGGAAAGAAGCGGGAGCGCAGCGGGAGCGCTGCCAGCACAAGAGGAGAGTGATACTGAAGCTTACAACCATAAATAAAACAAAGAGGCCAAGCTAGGGGTAAATCCTTTCTCCTATACATACATGCACATAAAAAATAAAAACAAAAAGGGCAATTCCACAGTTTTTGCAGCCCTAGAATTAACTATAAATTACCCATTCTAGAAACACTCCTCTAAGGAATGCCATCTCAGAAGAAATGTAAAACAGTTTTAGAATTTTACCTGATAAAATTCATTAAGTAGTACAAAACCATCAGGAAAGATGAATAAACCATCATCTCAGTCTTGTGAGTTACTTAAACATCTGTCACATTCCTATGGAAATGCACAGCTGTACTGCACTAGGGCGTCCTGCCCCAGCTTAGCAATTCTCTTTTCAAGCTGCCTGTACCTTATGAATTGGGTGAACCACATGCTTACTTTTAAGTTTTAATGTTTTTCTCCACTATAAGGGTGAGCGATCCACTGGACTCTTATCTCTCCTTTTACAAAAAAGGGGTAAATCTGTAATTCTAAGGTCATTAGAAAGTCCTGTGAACTGAAAGATCTTCTATTTCATACAGTGGGGCTAAATTACATTCCTTCCTCAGCTTCCTACACAGGAGTCACAAGAGTCAGTGCACAGATAAAGAAGGAGGAAACCCACTTTGGACTGGGCAGCTGTGGGGACATGATTGTGCCTAGGCTTTGAAAGGAAAGGTGATATGCCAGCTCACAGTAATTAATGCCACTTGATTCTCAACACTTTATTCACAGCCATGGCAGCACAAGGCCTTATATCAGAAACTTACTATAAGACAGCTCAAGGGATGGATTTACAGCAGTATAAATACCCTGAATTAAGCATCTGCACACACTCTGTAGAGGGTACGCAGCAGATTATTTCCATTGGCTGACAAATTCACCCTTGCAGTTCTGACTAGTATGAGCAAGGAAGCAAACAACCACCAAGACTGTGAAAATTCATTATATATCAATACTTCTGCATACTTTATGATTAGCTTGACATATTTTGTGTCTGACATTACCTGTCCCATCTAATCTCAAGCAAAAAACATACTTCAACACTTTTTCATGAAGCACTGTTTAGGTACATGAACTAAGCCACTGTCTGCTGGTTTTATCCACCATATCGTAGTCTTTGGGTAGGTTTTTACATCAGGCAAACTACAGAGACACTAACTGATCCCAAGTTGGTTTGCAGTTCGCAACAGCGTGAGCTGTGCCTCCTCTGAACAGTCAACTGAGCTAAGAACACTGTTACATCTAATTCATGGCTTTTCACACATGAAGAGGGTTCAAGTCAATTCTGCAGGCAAACAAGACCAGGGCTATTTCTTAGTTTCTTAGGTGACTGTTGAACTTCTCAATTTTGGAAAATAAAATCAGAAAGATTCACAAGAAGCTTCATTTTATTTGGATGCAAACTAGTATTTGACCTCCCTAGCACTTACATTTTCAAAAGGTTTTACTTACTTGTATTTTAAGAGCAGCCACTGAACAAACCACAGTCCTACAAGGATCATGCCATTGATTTCACAAATAGAAAAAGCCCATTGCACTCGATCAAAACGATCAAAAAATGCATCTGGTAGGGGAGGCTGCACCTCCTTGGGAGGCACTCGTTCATGAACGACTGAGATAGTCACTGTAGTAAAGATGAAACAAGAAAGTGCATAAATAAAAGCCAGGAAAGTCTTGCCCCATTCCATAGGATACTGTGAGCGCTCTGGCTCTGGCATGGGGATCTTTATCATCTCCTTCTTAAACCCATTTGGCATCCCGTTCAGCTTCATTTTACTGCTAAAGCCATTCTCGCGTGTGGTGTTGCTGATGTGGATGTGCCCATTGACGTGCCCATTTTTGTGAGCCTCCATGTGGTGAGCCATTTTTAAAGTTTCAATCATGTGCAAAAGCCGCTGTCCGCTGTCAGAAGACACCCGAGAGAGAGGCGTCTTCTTAAAATCTTCCTCTGTGAGGTTGATCAAATCCTGCCCAGTGAAGCTTTTCAATGGCTCACAATACTCCGGCACAGCATTTTCCGTTAGCCAATTCGTCACCTCCTCGGGTGACCACAACACCACTTCTTTCATCTCGCCAGGCAGCTGTGGCACAGTCTGACATCGATTTTAAATTGGGCAGCAGCCACTGTGTCTCCAGTGCGCTGGAAAGCTCCTCCTTGGCATCATCTTGTCCTGTGAAGCAGTTTGGTGAGAGGCAAGTCCCTGTCTCTAACCATCTGATATGAGCATCCACGCACTGTGGCAAGCATAGAAAATGGTTCACTTCATATTCGTGTTGGCATTCTTCCTGGGGAGGAGAAAAACCCAAAACCAGTCATTAAGACAGCATTTACAAATAGTTTGCAATTCATGTTTAAAGAAGAGATTGCTGCAAAAGAATAGCTGGACTCTAGCATGGAAAAGACTAACTGATTTGAGCTCTAGCCTTGTATGCATAGCACTGTCCTTTCTGAGCTCACTACCGATTTTCTCAAGAGCTTTAACAGTTTTGTATTTTAAACACCACTTCACAGCTGTGGGAAGGACTCCTCCTGCTCTATATTTGTTAAATTTTCTATTACCATGCAGCTCCAGTCCATAACCAGTACTCAACCCGTATTTAAGGATCTACAGAGCAAATGTTTATTTAGTGTTATTGATGTCAGAAACCTTTTCTCCCCCTTATCGAGTATCTTAATGCAATCTGTTGCAGTTACTTATTGAATAGGAAGCCTGATTATTGTTCTGCAAGGCAAAAATACCTAGTGTACCACAAAAAAATGCTTTTCTACAGGTCAATGACAACAAAAAGACGTAGGTAAGCAGGATTATACTCTATGGGCCAAAGCACCAGCAGGAAAGATCAGTGTCCAAACAGGTTAGCTTGAAAATAAACTGAAGCATTTAGGTTTGCAAGATTCCAGTGGATGTTTAGCAGCTCTTCAAGATAGGTTTACTGTTTCCATGGTATACTGCTACAATTCAGATAAGTTTGTCATCAGCTAAAAAACAGGAGAAAAATTAAAGTGAAATTTTTTATTTTTGAAAAAAGGAACTATGTCATGAACTTAAATATCACATTAATTACAAAAAGCTGTTCACTTCCAATACAAAAATTACTGGAAAACAGGTATTACTAGCTGGAAGCTCTTCCTGCATTTCTGAGACAGGAGCAGCATGAGAAGGTGATCATGTGGCAGTGAATGCCACTAGCAAAGTCCCAGGTTTGAGATGTTTATTAAACGAACAAAGAAAACACAGTTGTGGCCCAGAGCAGAGAGAGGAAAACAGCAAGAACCCCTGTCTCCAGCCTGCAACCTGAGACCAAGCATCTCCTTCAGGAAGCTGCAGTATCGTAAACACAAACTGACCTGAAGAAAATAATAGCATGGGAAAAAACGCTTCATATTTTCAGAAGTCTTATCATGCCTTCATCAGCTTAAAGAATATATTAAGCCTCTCACAAGCTACCAGATGTTTGTGTTTCATCACAGGGAGCAAGTTACCACTAACAAAAACCAAAATAATCTACACTACTGGCATGATTTAAGCAGAAGCTGTATAAAACAGATACAGAGGTATGCTTCTACGCGAAACGTGACTGTGCTGCACATAAATATGTTCTTTGAGCCGTTACCTCTAAACTGAGCAAGAAACACAAGGTGCAGGTTTTAATCTGTTTCTCTGTGGAATGAACCAGGTCTGATGATTGAGAAAAGAAAAAGCTTTGGACAAAGGACTCTCAGCACTTCGCGTACACCACCTCTCACTTGCTGGGCATACCACGCATACATACACATTTAAATCCATGCGGCAAACAGCGGTGAAGATGAATATTCTCTCTTGTGAATATCCATGCTATTTCAGAACAGCAGAAGAGAGGATGGAGCTCTATTTTCTTTCTTTCTTTTTTTTTTTTCAGTGGGATTATATGTACTGAGGAAGGCTTTTAGCCAATGATCGCTTCATTATTCAAGTTGTGTTTAGCAAATTGGTATTTAGTTACACAGCTCTGAACATGGTGGGCGGAGGGAGAGAAAAAATTGATTGAATTATACATGTTAACCCACATTAGAAACTCCTACCACACTTGACTGAAGGAGAGCAGCTCAGCTCTTCACCACGCTGGTCTCAACTGTAGTCACTGTAGTCACATTATCACAGGAGCACCTGAAACCCAGAGTCTGGCACCAGCCACAGCACAAAGCTCAAGCATGAACCCTGCATCCTTACTGCATGCCAGTGACACTCTATGCCAAGGAGAGTTGGTGTCACCAGCAGTTATGGGAAGATGTTTTGCCATCAGGTCCCTGTCACCTGGGCATTAAGGGTGATGTCAGCTTTCAGCTACCTCAAGCCTGTGGCTTGACTTGGTCACTGCAGACCAACAAGGTGGAAACACCATCACCTTCGTGATGTCCACAGTATTTCAGTCTCAAGCAGTGCACCAGTAATTCACAACCCAAAGATCCATATCTGTGTGAAGAAAACCCAACACACTCTCACACTTGTCTTCGGGTCGACATTCAGGTTGTAATCCATGAGATGCAGCACCAAAAACTGCATGGCATCAAATTCACAACTAATACTAATGGACCTCTATGGCCTTGCTGTTTCCCAGGGTAGCACCTTATAATCTTGATAAAGCCTACATTATTCTTTTAATCCTGTTACAACACCTGGGCTCTTTTGTCTGCAGCAGGACCTAATTTCCTCATGCCATTTAACAGCTACATCAGCTGCCTCTCCAAGTTTTGCTTTACACATTCAGCATGGATTTGGGGTTGCTGCAACACTGTGTACACCACAAGGTAGGGCAATATTAAACCTTTGCAATTTTAAATGCTGGAATCATTGAATCACTTCCTGCCAAACCACTCAAAGGAGGAAAGCGGACCTTACACTGTTACCCTCCTGACATACCAGCTTTTTTGACCTGATAATTCACCACAAGCCTCCTGCGTGTTTAAGGATTCAAGATCCCAAAAGACACAGTGCAAAGGAGACCGTAGCCAAGCTTCAAACTACATCTCCATTGCCAAGGGAGGTTTAGATTGGATTTTCAGAAACAATTCTTCACCGAAAGGGTTGTCAAGCATTGGAACAGGCTTCCCAGGGAAGTGGTGGAGTCACTATCCCTGGAAGTATTTAAAAGACCTGTAGATGTGGCACTTAGGACATGGTTTAGTGCTGGGTTTATGGTTGGACCTGATGACCTTAGAGGTCTTTTCCAACCTAAAAATGATTCTACGATCCCTTACCATGCAATATAACATGTCCTCTTTTGCAGCTAAGCTAGTAAGTTTTAAGATGAGCTCTCTGGGGAGCCTAAATGAACAAAAATTGGTTGGCAGCTGCAAACTCTACTCCACTACTGGCACACATGTCATAATAGGCTGGTGGAACCTCATGATGCCTGGCCTTGGCAGCATTATGAGAAATAGCAAATGTGTGTGTCTTCAAGCAAGTGTGTGTCCAATCCCAGCCTACTGCTATCATATCACCAGTGTGTAAATCACTATTGAGTACCTTTTGTAAAAGTACAGTAACTGATACTCATAGGAGGAAACCTTAGAGGAAGATAATACTCTGCCAAAGATGCAGGCCATGCAGCTGTTTTTGCTGAGAGTTAAAACAAACACACATACCGTGCAGAACTCTATTTCACAACCTGTCTAATGGGAGAGGTATAGGAAAAAAAAGCCACTTTACTAACACCTTCAGCTTGTCACATTAAAAATATCTTGTTTTCTATCAAAGCTTGATCAGGTAAGGTTGTCAGAAACTCATGGGAGTTTATGGGAGACTGAACAGACTCTGTTAAGGAGACTCTGGTCCCCTTGCTTCCACAACAGTCATCTTTTGTCCGCAAAAGCTGAGGAGAGGAGGCAAAGATGGGCATCAGCTACTGCCAGGCCACATCCCATTGCCCCAGCAAGGGCACAGGGATGGGCAGGAGGATGGGTGCACACCCAAGCCTCCCCAGCTCTCATATGGGTTGTCAGCCTGGGCCAGGCAACTAAACCACTCCATCTACAGCTGATCTGCTTCATTAAGGAGCCTTTATCTGATACTGATTAAAAGTAACAATGTGATTATCAGAATAATACAACTGCATTATGAAAACAATGCCATGTAGAACTGGTATCTCAAAATACCCATACACCACAAACCAAGCTTGATGAAGTAACTTCAGCAAGGGCTCTAGTCCCCACCTCCCCATGTTTCCATGACTTTGCTTCCCCTGTTACCAACAAACATTAAAGTGCTAACTGAAAACTTCCAGATCCTTTTTCACTTTCCCAACAAGAAGCATTTCCCTCCACCACCACTACAATCTGCCTATATAAGGGTGTCGTGGTTTAACTCACAGCCAGACAGCTCGTCTGCTAAACCCAGGACAAAGGGTTGTTAAACAAGTATTTGAGAGTGCACTATACAGCCTTGCATGTCAAGATCTGTTCTCTTTTGCATCGCTTTTTCAAAATGTGGTTATGCATAAGGACTGAGCATGGGAGCAGTCATCTTTCTGATTAAAGGACAAGATAATCAGCAATAAAATCATCAGCTGACTGCACCTTCACACTTGATTTAATGACCAAGGTGCAGAAAATTTTACAGTTTTCTGTTTCTAGGTCTGCTTGAGGGTAACTAAGCATTCATACTGGACACCACTGTTTAAGATTTCGTTTCTCAAATTCCATGGGCTGGACATCCCCAGGCAGGCAGTGTGATTTGTCTGGCATGGTTGCCGGGTCCATGCAGCAGTAACTTCCCTCCATGACACCAGCACTGGTTTACAGGTTAACATGCTGTTCCCCATTACTTCTAAATTTACAAGCAGAAAGCAGTACATCTTACAATTAACACTGAGGAGATAAGCACACATACACCTAAAACAGCAAAAAGAGACACCCCCCCCAAACCAGTTTGTTCATTTCCAGTTTCCTCCTAAAGCACCCTGAAACCAAAACAAAGAAAACCTAAGTCTTCCCCAATCAAATCATGCCTTCCTCATGTTTGTACAGTGCTTTTATTCTCTAAATGAGGACCTTTGCTGCCAAGGCAACAGTCACTATAGAAATAAGTTAAACAACCAACCATTTCAGAAACCGCACTGAGTTCCTCACCAGCAGCCAAGGAGATTTTCAAATCCTTTCCGAGGCGGTGGGTGTGTTTGAGTTACAACACTGAGCATCCTTCCCAAACACCCCCGAAAATTTGATATGACAAACGTATTAGTAAAAAAACAGTGTTAAAATGAGCAAGGACGAGGGAAACCACAGTCTGAAGACATCATAGTGACAT